GATATTGATAAGAATGGTTTTGAGTCCCCATGAAAAGGTTACATGCCTTTGAAAAGGACAATACCATAAGGCATTTATAAGAAATGTCTAGCCAAGGTCGTTACAGTAATAGCAAGAAAGCAAACAAACAAAGCAAAGTCACATAAGTATAATTCCTCATCTCCCAGACAGTCAAGCCCAGACAGTGACTGGGCATGTGAAATAGTATATAAATAATACATGTCTTAGAATCCACTCTGTTCTTTCTGGAGCCAGGCAGAGAAGGTTTTTGGAGAGTCTGCTGGTTCTTGCTTCGAAGGGTGTTGTTGCTAAGCAATGTTACTAATATTATGGAGAGACAGCCTCCTAGAGACCTGCCACTCAGCCCTGGAGACTTCTGTGGTTGCAAGTGGCTTAGCAGGTAGCAGCAGCTGAGAGTTTTGTGATCAGCGAGATGGGGGCCAGGGGACCCTGGGAGGAAGGGTAGTCCTGTAGGCCACTTCACCATGCAAGTGCCTGGCTTTCTGGAATGATCCCTGGGGAGCCTCTATGCTAAAAAGCTCCGCTTCATGTTCATCAGAACCTGGGTACACCAAAGAATCTCATTTAAAGGCTGGGCACACCTTTAATCCCAGCACTCAGGAGGCAGAGGCAGACAGATCTCTGAGTTTGAGGCCAGCCTGGTTTACAGAGCGAGTTCCAGGACAGCCAGGGCTACATAGAGAAACCCTGTCTCAAAAAACAAACAATAATAACAACAAAAGAATCTCATTCAAATGTTTCAAGCGTGGGGAAAAATCAGTCACACAGTTTAGTGAAAATCCAAAAATTTGCAAGGGAAGGAGGGAGGGAGGGAGGGAAGGAGAGAGAGAGAGATTATAAATTTGAACTATCTCCCGGAACTCAAGCAGTATTTTAAGCACTTTTCTCTTCCTTCTGAATACTCTTTTGGTAACCCTCTGAATAGACAGCTGAAAGTTCTGATTGAAATCACACCTTGAGTGCTTTCCCTAGATTCTGGGCACACAAGGGATGTGGAGGGCTGGGTGCCCAGCTGGAGCGGGCTCTGTGGGTTTCCTCTGTGTGGTTTCCTTCCCTTAGATTTCAGAAATACCACAGGCTCTCCTAGACTCGGTTCCAAAATCTGCGCTGGCTTGGGGCGGGGCCTTTGCTTGGTTGGGTGGTTTGCCCACAGGACGGCTGCTTCAGGGGTGTGTGACTCTGGGAGCATGAGGTTGGGCAGCGGTTCCTCCGGCCCGTTTGGAGTCTTGCCTGTGGATGGCTTCCTGTAGCCGTCACTGTGGGTATGGGCCCTTTTAGGGGCTGCTTGCCAGCTCTGGGAGGAGCCGTTAGCTGTTGAGAGGAGAGTTGGTGTGTTGGCAAAGGCTCTTCCTCTCTCTCATTTCAAAATGGAAACTGCTCTCCCACCTCGAATGACCTTCCCAGTCTTTCCCTCTTCCCACCCTCCGTCTGCTTTCCTGTCTCCCTCTCGGGCTTGCTTTTCCTCATGTGATCGTGTAACCAAGTGTGCTGTAGTCCAGGAGGGGGCGCTGATGTACCTGCCAAGAAGGAAGTCAGTCCTGTTCATCGTGCCCAGGTGTCAAGAGAGTGAGGCGCCAGAGGGAGGCTGAGGAGTGACTTCTCCAGTCTCTGTGTGTGCATTCATGTCCCCCGAAGTAGAAGGGTGTGGTGTTGCTGTCCTATGCTGTCTGATATATTTTTTTTAAACTGTTGCTTTTTCTTAAAGGTTTGGTGATTCAGAGGACAGCTGGAGACTATTCCTGCAGAAAGGGAGGGGCATGGCGTCTGGAGACCTCTGGCCCTACCCTGGATTCAAAGGCTCCTGGTGTCTGAATCTTCCATTCTTAGTTGCTTTGCTTCAGAGCAGTGACCGCTCAAGGTGGGAGGGAGCGTCTCTCCGAGACCAGGGGTGCTGATTGCTTTCACAAGCTTCTGCGGTCGGTTTCTAGGCACAGAAAGCCCCTTTCTTCAGGACTAGGCATGCGTGTCTGTGTCTGAACTCGCTGGCCCTTTGAGTGGCAGCGCAGCTGTCTGTCCTCAGTTCATGATTAACTTGCTTGCTCTCCGCCTCTCAGGCCCCGCAAGCCTTTGGGTTTCCCCTGCACTGGGGCAGAGACCCAGGCTGCCAGCTGCCTGGCACTTGGCTTTTGAGAACTGTGGGATCTAGGGATGGTGAGTGAGAATACCTCAGGGGGTAAGGGGTGGGATGGGATGTGACCCCTTCTGGGACCACTCCTGTCTACAATGTCTTCACTCCCTGTGGCCTGAACATGTGCCGTTTTCTTAGTCTACCCAAAAGTGACCCGGGAACACTTTCCGGTCACTAATGTGAAAAATGTCCCCTTTTCATTTCTCTTTCCAACTGTGATTTTGTTTTTTCAAGGGCCATGTCTTGTTTTGGTGCAAATGTCTGGCTGATACTTCACACTTACCTGTTTTTCTGAATGTGCACGATCAGTTTGGAAGTAGAATTTAATACGTCCATTTTTTATGGTATTTATAGCAGTGTTTTAACATCAGTAAAGAAGCAAGTTGATGTAATGAAAACAAACGTGTAGGCAAATAACTGGGAAGGTGGCATGGGAATGGCCTGATACTGGGACCCACTGTCTGGGCCACACTGTACGTGCTCGTTGGACATATTATTATTTGCAATGAGGTGTGTGTTGACTCTTTGCAGTTAGCAGTGACCTGTTTGGATAACAATGGCCCAAGGATAGTCTTCCCTTTCTGTCTCTCACTTGCCTCTTGCACGGAACTGGATTCATCTTGTTTAATAGATGCTGATGGTGCAGCAAGCCCGGCAGAGATGGACATGAGGTCTTGCGGCATTGCTTTCCTTGCCTTTTTGTGTTCCCTGGGTGGGTTACATGGATGTGATGGGCTGTGGGCGATGGAGCAGGCATTTGTGGAGGGATCGTGTTGGTGACAGGCTTGGTGACAGGGTGGAAACAAGGGCTCTGCCATTCATGGGAAACATCAACTCAGTGTTCCAGCGACCAGGGTCTCAGAGTTGCTGGTGTTTTGGAGACATTTGTTTTTTTTAGCCACATTGGGGGCTTCAAAAGGAGCTGAGAGGGCCTGGAATCCCAAAAACAAGAACGAATAATGAAACCTGCTGGATGGAGAGATTTTGCTCCTTCTTCTAATGTCTCTGTACCTGCTGTGCACTTGACCTGAACTAACTCCCAGGCAGTGGGGGATGGGTGCGAGCAGCTTGCACAGCTCACCAGCTGCAGATGGACGTTCTATTCAGATTATGCTTTTCTCTGTGCATAGACAAAATATATTACCCCACGCTGGGCCACCCTCTCTGCCACGTCCTGAAGCTGTCCATCAACTAACCTGGAGGTGTTAAGAGATACTAGGGGATCCAGAGGCCCCATGCCGGGGGCTATTTTTGTTTCCCCGTTTGAGAACACTCACTTCCCATTCTTTCCACTAGGCAGATTCTGAAGTCACCTCCAGTGAAATCCTTGCAGCTGCCCAGTTCTCTGCCTCATGGGTGGGGCCTTGGGGGGGCACTCGGGTCAGTTATAAATAAACGTCCATGACTGTGTCTGTGATCCCCCATCACTCAGGAGGGCCCAAGGCCATTGCTAATGGATGCTTCATAAATAGACCAGGTGTATTTTGGAACCACCTTGGGGCTCCTTCTCTCTGCCCCAGCTCTAGTGACAGCTAGGAGCTGAGCTCACTGGAGAGTTCGGACAGAAGCCTGGGGCCCTGGAGTTCATTTGCAGCCCCCCTCCGCTCTCGGATACAGTCCTCTCTCCTGCCTGTATTTTCTGTTTGTTTGAACACCAGACTGTGTAAAAAACAAGGCAAATTGCTAAGGGACCTCTCGGCCCCAACAGGGCTGTTTCCAAAGATGGGCTAATTGGCTTGTTTTAATTCCCTTTACCGACCCCCACCCCAATGCCCGATTCCTTCTCCCCAAGGAGGCAAGGCAGTTAGTTACGCTTCAAGGGCTAAGGGGGGCTGGGAGGCCCCGCAGCAAATGGAAGTGATCAAGGAGGGGGCTCTTGAGTGAGGCTCGATGCTGTTAGGACTCAGGCCACCGCTCCTTCCTTGGCTAAGAGCGGCAACGTTTTGTGTTCAAATCAGGATGGAGCTTTAACTCGATGTGCTGGAGATCTGAGGGTCCGACGTGGTGGGTGCGGGCGCAGGACCCGAGGTTCGCTGACTAACCTGGTACTCTAGGAGGAGGAGGCAAGCCTGGGAGAAGTTGATCACCAACCCGGTGTTGCTAAATTCCGAGGCCGGTCCTTCCAGCATCGCTCATGAGTATCCCTTCGCGGACTCTGGGTGGTGCAAGGGGAGGTAGCATCTTTCCTGATCGCTCTCCTCAAACCCTTTCCTCCCCATTCTCGACTGGTTTCGAGAGTAACCCCGTGACCGTCCAGAGTGGGACCCTGGGGCTGGAAGCCCAGGCAGTGGCTGCACGCAAAGGCGGCTTATCTGGGACAGTGGGAGGGTAGTGGCGGACGCGCGCAGTTTCTTCTCCGTGTGTATTTTCTCCTCTGTTGTAAAGCCAGTGACAGCATCGGAGAAGTATCCTGGCAGGCCGGTGTGAGAACTCGTCAGCCTGGGGAGGGAGCCCCAGACGGCCGGCGGGGCGCAGGAGATTGGGACCGGGATCCAGACCCGGGCACAGGCGAGAAAAGGCTGGGGCTGGCGCGCTCAGGGCAGCAGAGTGCGAGCTGCGAACTCGGGCGTCGAGCCCCACAGTGCCCGGCGCAATCGAGTCGCCATCCTTAGTCCGCGATCCGATTCTCTGCCCTCCGGGTTCAGCCGCCTGAGCTCACTAGGGTCCTGTCACCTGCACTCCCTGGGGTCAGGTCCCCTGCTCTCCCGAGTCCGGCCGCCTGAGTTCTCTAGGGTTGCTTTGCGCGGGTCGGGTCGCTCGTTTTACTCTCTGAGTCTCGGCCTGCTGGGGAGTCAGCAGCCCCGGCGCGGGAGGCGGAGCCGAGGCGGGGCCAGGGCGGGCGGTGCGTCGGAGCGGGAGCCCCGGAGCCGCTGGCCAGCCGCGCCCGGAGCGAGCCTCGGAAATGCCCGCGCTGGGGGAGCGCACACCGGCCGCCCCGCGGGCCCCAGGGAGACGCTGAAGGTCGTCGGGAAGTGAGCGCCCAGTCACCTGACCCTCGGGCGCACCTAGGTGGGGCGGGGCCCATGCGAGGCGGGCGGCAAAGGCCGGGGCGCGGGCAGCGCGGAGCTCGCGGAGCCGGGGCGGCGGCGGGGACGCGCGGCGGGCGAGGGCGCGGCCGGGCACCGCCGGCGGCCTCGCCATGTCCCAGCCGGCCGGGAGGATGCACTGCCGAAAGGCGGGGATCCGAGCCGCCGTGGTGCTCATCGGACTCCTGCACAAATCTCGAAAACAGAATAAAGAGAAAAGGTAAAGCTGGCATCACCCCGCTCCCCTGTCCTCCTCGCTCGCGGTGAATTCCAGTTTTCTTTCGGGTGGACTTTTCCTTTTGGCTCCCTTTTGGATAGGAAAAAAAAAAAAAACCTGGCTGGCTCAGACGGGACACTAGGGGAGTCGGAGGGCTCCCAGACCTTGCTTTTGCGAATTGAGGTACCCATCCCAACGCCTGCAGTTGGGAGAGCGTAGAGCTACTAGCTCAGTCCAAGCTTCTCTGCAACTTGGCTGAACCCTCGAGCTGCCTGCCTGGCTCCGCGTGCTCTGCGCTTGGGTGCCGGCAGGCAAGGACCAAGTTTGGAGGTGGATCAGCCTCCGCTTCCCCACCGTGTCTGTTTTTGGGTGTTCCCCTCTTGGACTCTTTCTTGCTACTGCTTGCGCTCTTGTTTGCTCCCGGGCGTTGGAAATTGTTTTCTCTGGCTATTTCAGGGACACTCTGGACATCTGTGTTGGGGAGAGGGGAACGTGTGGAGCTGGTGTGTGTGTGTGTGTGTGTGGGGGGGGAGCACAGAGAGAAGAGTCTGAGGCAGCTGCCTGGGCTCCAGTCTCCAGATGTAGACTTGACACCCACCAAACCCCAGCGAGCTGCTCTTGTAGGTTATCACCATAACCTACCTTTTCTGCTAGGGTCCTAGCAACTGAGGTTGTTGGAACCTAATGCCTGACTTCCAGGGGTCCTGCTGGAGGAGTTTTGGGGGGGGGTTAGTGCCGCACCTCCCCATAGACCCCCAAGGGCATTACAGTCACAGACACATGGGTGGTGACTGTCTGTCTCTGGGGTGCTGAGCAGCAAAGAGGAAAGCTTTAAGAATATGGTCTAGGTCGTGTCTGTTCCTTTTTGTTCCTATTTCTCCAAAATGTGGATTAATGAGATGTTTCCCACAGCCTAGGATGAGATGCCAGGGAAATGATTAAGGTGGCCGAGTATGAAGTAACATTGAGTCACTTGGTAAGAAAGTTCTTCCCAGTTCTCTGCCGGTCGGCAGGATTCCTTCAAAGGGAAAGCTTCAACACGGTGGTGGTAGCCTGGCCTCAACACCCTTTTTCTCCCCTAGTTGTTTGTTTGTTTTGAGACAAGGTTTCTCTGTGTAGCCTTGGCTGCCCTGGAGTTCACTCTGTGGATCAGGCAGACTTTGAACTCACAGAGATCCACCTGCCTCTGCTTCCTGATGTGCCACCGCCAATCTGCTGGCCCCTTGCTTATGTTCCCGTTGTAACCCAGTGAGAGTGGGCTGGCTCAGGCTCTTTAAGTGGGAGAGAGGCTCTGCCTAGAGGGGAGATCATTTTGTTTTCAGGAGCCCCTCCTAGTAACCATTAATGGAACTTATTTTTCCATCTGTGGCAATAATATAAGGCATCACTTAATTGTAGTCAGTACTGAGAATGTGTTTGTTCAGTTGAAGCAGTTGTAATAAAAATCTAAGTGTTGAGGCTGGAGAGATGGCTCAGTGCTTAAAAGTATTTCCTGCTCTTCCAGAGGACCCTAGTTCAGTTCCCAGCACCCATGTATGGGGAGGGTGAGGGGTGGAGGATGTCTCACAGCTGCTTGTAAGTCTAGCTCCAGGGGATCTGAAACCTCCTTCTGGCCTCCCAGGGTGCCTTCACTCACATGTGCAACCTTCCAACATAGACACATACATAAAAATAAAATAGAATCTTAAAAAAAAATAAGTGGCACCGAATATGGCAGGTGGACTCTGGGTGTCTGGTGTCCAGTAGAAAGGCTGCCTGGAGAACAGGAACCCAGTGCTCTGGGTCTGGGACCTTTTTGCTTTTGGACCTTGATTTCCTTTCCCCTTTCCACCTAATCTGTAGAGGAGGCATGAATGGGCCAACTCCCTGGCACTAGAAGGATAAATGAGCGGCTAGTCTCAGGTTCTGCTTGGGGGAAAGAAGAGGAAAATGTGCTCCATAGAAAGGCAGGTTTAGCTGGCCCTGGGGGACAAAGCCTGTGATCCCACCTACTCAGGAGGCTGAGGCTAGAGGATCGCAAGTTCAAGGTCTGCCTGCGCTTCAGAGTGAATTCAGGACCAGCTTGGGCTGGGAATATGGTTCAGTGGTAGAGCACTTTCCTAGCTTGAGTAAAGCCATAGGTTCCATACCAAGTACCAGGATGAGAGGGAAGGCAGACACATGCAACCAGTTCCTAACCAAAGACAGACCATGTGGTAGGGTGGAAAGTCCCCCGTACAAGGTAGGACTTGGAGCCTTGTCTCTTCTGTTGACTATGAGGTGATGGTACAGATTTCAGCTCCTTGTGCTTCACATTCTGTCTACACACAGAGGCTCCAGTGCTATACTGTGGGTGAAGCTGTAGCTGAAGGCTCAAATGCTCTTGGGGATGAAGGGGATGCGGTTTGAATGACTCCCATCTCTCACAGGCCCTGTGCCCTTGCTAACTAAGGAAAGATGTCTGGTGGTTGCAACCCTACCAGTAGTGGTCAAGGCCCATTTTGCACAGGCAAAGGAGGCAGAGAGATGGGCATGGGTTGGGGGTACACAGTGAGGTAGTGGACAGGGGCCAGGGAGAGGTCTGCTGGGATCAGGATGCTTCATGGTGATCTGCCCTTTGTGGATGCTCTCAGCTCTTGTCTGCCAGCCAGGCAGACAGTAGTTGTCCCCTCCATCCTTGGCTTCATCTGGTGCTTCTGTTGCTATAGCCTGATGCCTCTGGCTGTGCACTTACCCTCCTCAGAGAGAGGATCGGCTTTATCTTGGTATAAAGTGGCTTTTGTTTCTTCTCTTGCTTTTTTCTGGAGTTTCTGTGTCTTTAAGTGTCTGGAATCTGTGGTGCACACTATTGACCCTTGCTCTGCGGGTGCCCGCTGGCCACAGGGAATCTGGGGGCAGGTGGCAGCTGCTAGCTCTCGCTAAGCCTTCCCCAAACTCCGTGCTGGATGTTAAATTTGCAGAGTTCTTCCTTCCATCCCTTCTCATCATGTGGTCAGCTCAGACTCAAGCCCCCGCCCCATCCTTCCAGAGGCTTGATCCATCCATCGATCTTCCCAGCACCTCTAATTGACAGGCATATGCAGAGAACACTCTGGGCTCTTTGCCTTCAGGGCTGAAATGGTGATGTGTGGCTGGCAGGGATGTTCTAGTGGTCCTTGTCATCCTCTTTCTATGCTGCTTGAAAATATTACACATGAAGGGGCTGATTGTTATGCCCGGGAAGATGGCCTGGGGGCAAGTGTCCCATGGGCCAGGGACCAGGAGATTCCCAGGGTCTCTTGGTAGGTCCTAAAGAGTTGTGCTCAAAGCTCCAGTTTCAATTTACCATTTTAGAAATGAGCATGGGGTTTATCAGACTTAAAGAATTACACTTATTTATTGTGTGTGTATATGTGCGAATGCCATGGATTACATATAGAATTCAGAGGACAGCTTGCTGGAGTCACTTCTCTCCTTCTGCCATAGATGTCTTGTGGATCTAACTCTTGGTGGCCTCTGAGCTATCTCACTAGCTCAGTTTCTCAGTCTTAACAGATCTCTTCCAGAGTTTGGGACAGCCTGGAGGTTCTGTCCCCTTTTGACTACCTGCAAGGTTTCTGTTACAGGGGATCTGGCCAAATCAGTACTGTGTTTGAGAGGAGCTTGAATCTGACATCTTCTCTGATACTGTAGCTTGAAATCACAGTATAAGGAATTCCTTTAACATGGCTTTATTGAGAAGAGCCTGGTAGATGGAGCGAGGCCCAGAGCACTTCTTCGTAGGGTTAGATGAGGGTGGTGGGAAGCTGGGCTTTGTCACACAAGCCTGTAATCCCAGCTACTCAGGAAGTTGAGGCAGAAGAATCAAATGTTCAAAACCTGCCTGGGCTATAGAGTGAATTCAAGACCAGCTTGACAATTTAGTGAGACTCTGTCTCAAAGTAAAAAGAGGACGGACAGGGGATGCAGCTCAGTGGTAGGACACTTACTCAGCATGCGTGTCAATGTGTGGGGGACTAGGTTCAGTCCCCAGTACTGTGAAAAGTCAATGGTGAGGAAGATGGAGTTTTTGGTGGGGACAGTAACACTTTGGTAGGAAGGAAGATGTATTAGCTGATGGCAGTTGTTTACTAATTCAGATGTGGTGAAGTCAGTGTGGCCTTGGGTGTGACATTCTGAATCAGAAGATAGCAATAAAGAAAAACAAACAAAAGGACAAGTGGAGGGAGTTATTTGGGGACCATTCCCATCCTGGAGATTCCAAGGAGGAAAACATGGATTTTCTCATCATTTAGCAAATGCTTGCTGACAGGCGGTGATGCAGACAGAGCAGAGAATGTTCTGAGAGGGATTTCTCTTTGTGGAGTGTAACTTACAGGGGCATTTCTGTATGGGTTGTTAGGAAAAGCCTGCTTTCCCTTAGTTTTTATTAAAAACAAAACAAAACAAAAAAACAAAAACCAGTCAGGCAGCTGTGGCGCACGCCTTTAATCCCAGCACTCGGGAGGCAGAACCAGGCGGGTCTCTGTGAGTTCGAGGCCAGTCTGGTCTGCAGAGCGAGATCTAAGACAGGCACCAAAACTACACGGAAAAACCCTGTCTCGAAAAAACAAAACAAAACAAACAAACAAACAAAAACCACAAAAAACCCATTGGGCGTGTTAAAGTACCAAGCCTATGACCTTGTGCGTGCTAGGCAAATGCTCTATCACTGAGCCACATTCCAACCTTGAGGTCTTTCAAGGGTTCACAAAGGTGCAGAGAAGTTTATGGTGTAGTGCTCAGTTCTGTGGTCATCAACTGATGTTCAATCTTGTTCTATTTATTAACTACCCAGCGTCCCCACACAGCTTATGTTTAAGCAAATCTAAGATGCTAGAGTGCTTCATTCTTTCATTTGCATTTTTTGAGACAGGTTTCAGTTTGTGTTTTAAAGATAAGTATCCTTAAAAAATTATCAAACCTTTTCACATTAACAGTAAATTCTTTAAATAAACATTTATTTTTATGTATATGTATGCATGCATGTCTATGTGTGGTATGTG